CAATTACGGTAACCGTTTATCTGTAACCGATAGACCACGATGTCGTGTTCTATATGTCGGTCATCTCGCATGTCGACATAAGTGGGTGACTTGTCGTACGAAACCCATTCGATTGTCGATCCTCAAGTGGTCGACAACGCCATATGGTTGTACGTCGGGCACCGAGCGGTCGACAACGCCATGTGGTTGTACGTCGTGCACCAAGCGGTCGACAACGCCATATGGTCGTATGTCGCGCATCAAGCGGTCGACAACGCCATGTGGTCGTATGTCACTGGGTTATTGGTCGACCGTTGGAGGATTAGGTATCCTATAGTACAAATAGTTTCTTTAAAATTTGTTTTTTTAGCTTATGATAAAACGCCGGTCTTTTGTATTGTCCTTCTAAGGGTTGACCTAATTAATAGATATTAGGATAAGACATCGCATGTAAGAATAATGATCAGAGGAATGGGACAGACTTAGGCACTCCATGATGTTGAACATTTGTGGGACAAAAAGTGGCTTGAGTCTGAGGTCATGCTATTGCTATCATGACTAATTACTTTAGCTTTTGTTCGCTAATTGTGAAAAGTAAAAGGTGATGGGACTTTAAGTGGTTCTTTAGTTACTCAATTAGTGAGTATTTAGTTCTTTGAAAGACATATTAGTCTCCGATTAGTTTTGAGTGGATGAATTTGATTAGATTTGTTATGTTAATTTTATCTTTGATGTTAGAATTTAGGTTTTATCCGAAGCCTCGTTTGGTTGGCAAAGACAACTTCCACATAGGGTCATAAATTGACTTGCAGTTAGTTCGAGTACCGTTTTTACTTTCAAATGGTACCTGGCAATGTTAGTGCGTGCCAGGCCACAAATTCTTACCAATATATGAATTGGACCAATTTAAACTAAAATTTCGAATGATTAAAGATAGAGAAAATATAAACGGTTGTAGCTACCTTCACCACCCCTTCCCATGTGCTCCCAACACCTCTTTATTTTCTTTTTATTCCAAAAATACTCTACACCTTCCCATAATCTCTATTAAGAACATAATTATAAAATTTGTTCTCTTAATTATATTTTTCATACTCATATTAGTTAACACTTATTAAGGTTTTACTGTTAAAGAATCCACCATAAAAAGGTTGTATAAAAAAGTTCCAGAGGAGCATGTTGCATAACATTGGGTTTGGAGATATTTCCAAAGTCCTTAACTACTTTAAAAACACTTATTAAGGTTTGGAGATACCTTCGTATCAAGCGGCCATGGTAATGCTGCAACACATGCGGCCTCCGAGCACTACGTGTCGGCGTCGTACATGCTTGTCCATCACCACCAGTACACGTCGTCGCACATCCCGCACCACAGCATCAGAACGGATCCAGCGATGAGAACAAAACCGTCCGGATCGACGATTTGTATCAGAGGGTTACAAATTTGTGGAGTTCTATTCACATGCTATTGAGAAAGTTTTGCAAAACTCGATATCTGTGCACGAATGTTGATATCAGTGCACGGATGTTGACATCTGTTAATTGAAGGGCAAAAATGAAATAGAGAGGTGCAACAAGCGGTGTGTGGTGGTGGAGGGAGTAACTCCCAATATAAACTCGATCTTATTCAATTGAATAAGGTAAACCCGGCCCATATACTTTTTCACAATAGTAAAATCTTATTCTTTATAA